TCCTCAGAGGAATCTGAGGGGGGGTCATGGTCACCTTATGGCTGCAGAGTGGTAGAGTCTAACCTGGAGTACACTGTTTGCTCTTGTAACCACTTGAGCAGCTTTGCAGTACTCATGGCTCTCTATGAGATTGAGGTTAAAACTCTTTTACATATGTAATTATCTGATATGACATAGAAAATCAAAGCAAAGTTTAAACTTTCAGTCCGTTTTCTGTTTATTCCAACATCATTCTGATTTCTCCCAAAAGGACAAGTTTGAGTTGCAGCTGATCACCTGGGTGGGCCTATCCCTTTCCCTGATTTGCCTGTTTATCTGCATCCTGACATTCTCAATGATCCGTTCCATCCAAACCCCAAGAACCACCATCCATTTGCACCTTTGCATCAGCCTCTTCATCGCCACCCTTTTATTTCTTACAGGAATCGCTCAGACCGACAACAGGGTAAATACACTGAAAGCTTGACAATGTCTGCCACCAGCAAAAAAAAACAAGAGAATAGATATCAGGAGACACGGTGTGCCCTTTTTCACAATTTTTTATGTCTCAATCAATCGTGATGTGGCCAAATTAGAGGCTCTACAGCAGTTCTTTTTTCATTTATCAGTTTTCACCTCCGTGATACCTGTAGATCACAATCTTTGAGGCACTGTCAACTTATGAAAGAAAAAACTGCAAATGGTGTTGGAGCTGCAACCACACACCTCATTTTAAGTATGATGGAAATAAATGGAAACACTTGACAGTCAATTCTATTCCTAGATATTTATATTTCAATTGTTTGCAGATGGCAGGACTCTTAACCCATAAACATCATTCAAAATCACACTTTGAATATCAAAGATGATGAGATTTGAAGTTGTTATCAGAGCAAAAGAGGGAGAACTTCTCATTTTCAAGGCACAGCAAATGCAGCAGCATCTGAAGCTAATGTTACATGGAGATAACAATAATTTTGGCTGGATCATTTTAGAGGGATGCACTTTTCCCCAGAAATCTGAAAAGATCTCTCAATTACACATTGTCAGATGTCAAAATGGGATTTGGAAGCTTCTGCACACACAAAAACAAAAAAAGTTACTTTTTCGACAATACAATACAACTTCCTTGCAGTGATTAACACATAAAGTAGATCTTCTCCTTTTCATCAATCTGTTTTAATTATGCTTTGCCCCTTTTTCACTGAGCCATGCTGGTATTAATTTCCCTGTCCATTAGGTTGGCTGTGCAGTGGTGGCAGGGATGCTGCACTTCTTCTACTTGGCGGCATTTTGCTGGATGTGTCTGGAGGGCATACAGCTCTTCAGGATGGTGGTTCTGGTCTTTAACACCCACTTCAAAACCATGTACATGATGGCAGGTGGCTATGGAGTCCCGGCTGTTATTGTTACCATCTCTGCATTTGTCAACCACAGAGGATATGGCACAGAGAAGTAGTAGGTTTCCAATATTGTTTTATATAAAATAAATCTATATTCATATGTTCAGCTTTCTTTTGTAATATACATTTGAAGT